CGCGGCCTCGCCGCGTGAGTGCGCCCTTCCGCGCCTCCTGTCTCTGCGGCCGCCGCTCTTCTTTGTTTCTTTCTCTTGCACGCGGGGCATCCGCAATGACGCGGCCCAGATTGCTTCGACGCGCGATCGGATCGCCTCGGCCGCGCCGCGGCGTCAAAAGTGTTCAGCACGCGCCTGTTCCCGTTCTCGCTGGAAGAGACGCAGACGGCGCCAAGACTGGGTGACAATATTGACAAAATAATGAAAGACTCCCTTACGTGTGTGTATTGTATGTTTGCCTGCGCTCGATTTCTCTTCCATCCCATCGCAGATGGGCTAAGGTTTGCCGTGCGGTTGATCGATGTCAAATTCGTCGACCAGCCGTCGGCCCGTCATCAGTACCAACGGATCAGTGAGCTGGACGCGGGCTCTCTGGAACCCGCACTTCATTTCCACAGCAGGCGGCCAGAGATAGCTGGAGCACTGCCCGAGATCAGCCAATGACGGCCCAAAAGGCGCCCACGAAGGCCGAAAGAGGCCCCGAGAAGGGCACGAAGCGGCCAAGGGAGCTTCTGCACGGCAGCACTGCACGGCCCACGCGAGAGCACCTCCGCGTTGGGCCGCAACCCGGTGAGAATGCCATCAAAAACCGGGCCAGTTCGAGGTCGGTTCTGGCTTCATTTGGGGGCCCAAGTTTGGCCCAGCATCGCCCATCATTGGCTTTGGAGCGTGCCCAAAAACGCAATCGCAGCTCGCATTTTGAAGCAAATCCCTGACGAGCCTAGCGGGGGGGAAAGGGCAGGGTGCTAGAACCCTGTAAGGAGCTGTCGCACTTACGTTCCAGACGCCCCTCAGCCCAGTGGGCGGGCGGATTCAAAAGGCGTGCGCCATTTCGACGATCCCCTGACGAAGTGAGGAGCCCATGGGGATTGCTAGGGCGGGCTATGGTGCACAATAGCATACCCACATGACGACAAGGATTGCAGCCATGTTGGGCCACCATGTGTTTGGGAGTGGGGGGGGGCATTGGGCCTCTTGAGCGCGCCCTGATTTCGTGTTTTACTTGACGCCTTCTGTCGGTCAGCTCCAAACGATGGGAGAAATCCATGGTTGAGGCTTTTTGGGGCTTGTCGGAAGCCGTCTTGTCTCCTCTTTGGGGCTTCTTGAGCATCTTTTGGGGTCACCTGGGGGGGTCTTGGGTGCGTGCTGACGTTCTGCGGGTCCTCTTGGGGGCCTTCTTGGGCTTTCACTTCACGCCTCTTGGCGGCCAACCCCAGAAGAGGAAAGAAATCCATTGGTGAGGCTTTCGGGGGGCCTTCTGGAGACAGCCTTGGCGCCTCTCGGGGGCCTCTTGGGGCCTTTTGGGAGGTTCTTGGGCGCCTGCTGGCGATGTTAGGATGCTCTTGGGACGGAGGGTCCGGTCAGGAATGTCAGCTTGAGTTGCCTCTCTTGTGGCCCTGTTGCCCTGTTGGGGCCCTCTTGGGCCATCTTGGGCGCCTCTGGGGCCGTCTTGGGGCCATCTTGGGAGCTCCTTGGGCCGTCTGGGAACGAGCTTGGGGGCCTCTTGAGCTACTTACCCGTTACCAGAGCTATTCATCTTGAGCACTGACGACTAGGGCATCTCCGAGCGGGACCCCCCTTCCCCCCGTGGACTCTTAGCACAGCAGCCTTCGGCCTGGTTGGGCGGGAGAGCCTTCCGGGGTTCTCCCTGGTGTACACGTAAGAATAAGCATAACCAGTTCACAAGGGGGGAGTCACTCCTGGCCACTTCCACGCAATTCTCAATATCTCCCCGTATGAGATCACACATAGAATTCACTCCCATACTATATCTCACCACAGCGCCCAGACATATCAAGTTTAGCTAAGATGAATAAACTTTCGTAACGGAGATGTATCATAGTCGGTGCGACGACAAACAGTGCGATTATGCTACACATATACGCTTTGCTACGAGATTGGGGCGATGCTTGCCTCTTTGCCCAAATGCCTGCCCAGGGCGGGCAACCCGCCCACATGCCTGATGGGCTGGTGGGTCTATGCGAGGGGTTTAATTATGACGGATCCGCGCTCTAGGGGGCACGAACCCTAATCCGCCGACCCCCGCTTGCCAGGGGTGAACAGGCTTGTGAAATATTTGTTTGTCCCCCTCCCCCTTTCCCCGTCCCCCAGGGGCCCAATATCGTGTTTGAGGGGGCGGGGAGGGGAGGGAGCACTGGTCTCCCAAACGCACCCCTGGGGCCTCCGAAGCCTCCACATCTACACCCCGTGGCATCCAAGATGCCCAAGATGCCATCTAAGCTGGCTCAAGCTGGGTTCCAACACGCCGAAGAGAGATCCAGAACAACCAAGATGGCCTCAAGACAACCCTAGTGGCCTCGAAGACACCCCAATAGGGATCCAAGGGGGCCCTCCAGAGGGCCCTCGTGGATGCTTCTCGGAGTCTCTTCGGACGTCTCTCGATAGCTTCTTGTAGGCCTTTTGGAGCGTCTTGCGGGCCTCTTGGCGGTCCAGGGTGTCTCTTAAAGCGTAATGGGTGTTTCGGGGGGGCGTCCTGGAGCCTCTTGAGGGTCTCTTGAGAGTTCCTTGGGACCATCTTGGAGGTGATCGATCAAAGAAGGGGGGTGTCAATTAGCGACCCCCCACCAGGAGGCCAAAATTGGCTCACAACTTGGGTGATATTACCCTGGCGAAGAACCCAACCAATTCTGCACGCGTGGAAACTATCAACAGGACCGCTCGGTGCACAAGGACTCGTTGGGGGTCCGCAGCACCCCTGAAAGCTTCGCGCACGGAGGACCTCGAGGACTCGTTGGGGTGTCCGCCGCTTGGCTCCCTATGGGGCCACGAAACGTGTGAGGGGTCTGCCCTGCCGAGAGAAATCCGACTCACCATGTGAACCCAGCCACTGGGGCTCTCAGCAGAGCTCCCCTATGCGGCCACGAAGCGCGTGAGGGGTCCTGCCGAGAAGGACCCAAGCTGCCGTGCGAGCCCAGCAACTGAGGCCTTGATTCGATGGAGCTCCCTAGAGGGCCCAGGCACGTGTGAGGGATCTGCCAAGAGAAGTCCGAGTCACCATGTGAACCCAGCCAGTGGGACCTTCGGTGGAGCTTCCTGTGGTGCCACGATGCGCGTGAGGGGTCTGCCGAAACGGACCCGAGTCACCATGTGAACCCGGCCAGTGGGACCTCCGGTGGAGCTCCCGATGGGGCCACGAAGCGCGTGAGGGGTCTGCCGAAACGGATCCGAGTCACCATGTGAACCCAACCATTGGGGCCTTCGGTGGGGCCCTTGGTGGGGCCACGAAACGTGTGAGGGGTGTGCCAGAATTGACCCGAGTCACCATGTGAACCCAGCCGGGGTGTGCCGAAATGGACCCGAGGAACTATGCGGACGCAGCCAGTGGAGCTTTCGGTGGAGCTCACTATGGGGCCACGCAGCGTGTGAGGGGTGTGCCAGAATTTAACTACCCGAGTAACCTGGCGGAAGAGGTGAGGAGGAGGGGAGGAAGGAGGAGGAGACGCGCGGCGTTGCGAATTCAGAACGAGGACCCAACACGCAGGGGGGTATTGGGGATCAATGACTTTGGTCTTCTCGCCAAGTCCATCTTGGACGCTCTATCCCACCGGCACCCCTCGTCCAGGCCCAGAGAGAGGGGGCAGGGGGAGGGGTAAACCCCTCCCCTCCTCCTCCTCCTCCTCCTCCTCCTCCTCCTCCTCCTCCTCCTCCTCCCCGAAATAGAACAAGAGACGTTGGAAGAGGAAACGCTCTAAACCACTCACCTCCTAAGGGCGGGCGGGATTTGGAAGGGCTCGCGGCCCTGGGAGCGCGGATCCATGGTAACGTGTAGCGCACCGTGACCTTTGGGAGCACAGATGCAGCATCATGAATCAAGGATCGCGGGGGCAAGAATCTTAGGACCCTTCCCAGGGGATGGCGATGGAGGGCTTTTGGGGCAAGGGGAAGATTTACAGAGCGGAGTGGCACGTCCCCTGGCGCGTCTCCCTGCACGTCCCTGGCAGGCCCCATTTACTGTCCTTCTGCGCGTCCCCTTGCGCGTCTGCGGCGAGTCGCGCGTCCCCTGGCAGGCTTCCTTTCACTTCCCTTGGCGCGTCCCCTGGCACGTTTGCTGGCCCGTCCCCTGGCACGTCTGCGGCACGTCCCTCACACGTCCCCTTGCTTGTCTTTGGAGCGTCGGGCGGCACGTCCTGTGGCGCGTCAATTGTCATGTCAAAAGCGTGTCCCCTGGCGTGTGCGTGGGGACGTCCCGTGGCGCGTCCACTGGCGCGTTCACCGGCGCGTTCACTGGCGCGTCTCCTGGCACGTCCCCTCCAGGCGCGTACCCTGGCACGTCCCCTGGCACGTCCCGTCGCACGTCCCCTTGCACGTCCCCTGGCAAGTCCCTTAGCGCATGTCCTGGCACGTCTCTTGGTGCGTCCCTAGGCGAATCCTCTGGCGCGTCGCGCGGGACGTCCCGTGGCGTGGCCCATGACACGTCCCTTGGCACGTTCCGTGGCGCCATCTTGACACGTACATGGCAAGTCTCTTGGCACGTCACCTGGCACATCTTTTGGTACTTTCCCTGGCATGTTCCCATATGTCCCCTGGTGCATCCCCAGGCGCGCCCCTTGCACGTCCAGTTTCGCGTTCCCTTTCTGTAGTCCTTTGATTCCCCATGTAAGAACAAATGTGTTTTCTGTGTTAAGCACACAGGGCTTGCCGATAGGCAACTATTAGGGGCCGCGTGATACGCGCGGTGCGAGGAGATAGGGAGGCGGAGGAGGTGGAGGAGGGGGAGGAGAAGAAGGAGGATAAAGGCGGCGATGACGACACCGCCGACGACGACCATCAGGAGACAGCACGCATGCTCGGCAGATCTAAAGATCCTTTCACAGGTTCGTGGGCCGCTCATGTTTCTTCCTCCTCCTTCCTCCATGAAGGTGGGCTTCGAGCTCGGCGCCATTGTGTTCATTGAGGGCGGCGGCTTCTTCGAACCAGACGTCATCGCGAGCTTCGGTTCGATGTTGTTGCGCTCTTAGTCTTCCCTCCTACTCTGTTATCTGGGCCAGAGGCCATGGGCGCGAAGATGATCGCGCTTCGCGTCCTTCTCGAGAGGGGCGGCGCGACAGCGCGAAGATCACCGTAACCGTGCTTCGCGCGGCGCGAAGATGCGGCCTTGAGCAGCGTCGCTCGATCCACCCTCGATCGTGCTTCCGAGTGGCCTTCGATCGCTGTGCATGGAATCTAGGCCTGGCCAGGCCTGGAGGGCGCAACGAGGCTGACCAGCCCCCTCGAGAACAGCTATCCGGTCAACTCCACCGTCACCTTGTACAGCACCACGGCCGCCGACGACGACGACGACGACGACGACGACGACGACGACGAGGACGACGACGAAAACGACGAAAACGACGAAGCGACGGAAACAACGAAAACGACGAAAACGACGAAAGACGCGAAAACCAAGAACATTACGAAGATGAAAACGGCGAAAGGCACGTAAGCTACGAAAACTATTAACTTTACGACGACGATGACGACGACGATGACGACGACGACGACGACGAATCGACGACGACGGCGACGAAAACTACGAGACGACGGAAACGACGAAGACGACGAAAGGTACGAAAGCTACGAAAACGGCGAAAACGATGACGACGACGACGCTCGGCGGCGGCGGCGGCGGCGACGACGACGACGACGACCACGGCCACGACGACAACGATGACGACCACGATGACCACGACCATGACCACGACCACGACCATGACGACGACGAAGCAATGAACGAATCGCGACAACGACGACCGACCGATGACCACGACCGACTACGACGACGACGAGGACGAACGAACGCCGACGACGACCGACGACCGACGACCATGACCGACGGTGGCGACGACGACGACGACGGCGGCCGACGCCGACGACGACGACCTACGAGGTCTCCAGAGATCCTCAGAGGCCTCTGGGGCTCTGGAGGTCCAAGAAGCCCTCCAGAGGCATCAGATGCATCCCAAGGCTGAAGATGATGCCCAGGGAGCGCGCATCTGTTTTCTGTCTCGTGTCCCCCTCCTCCTCCTCCTCCTCCTCCTCCTCCTCCTCCTCCTCCTCCTCCTCCTCCTCCTCCTCCTCCCCGATTGCCTTGTCATGCCGCAGACGTACTTTTTCGGTGTGGCAGCGCATTTCCCTTCGGCAGTTGCTTGGGGGGGATCGCGCGTTCTGTCCTCTCCAACCTGGAGCGAGGAGCACTGATTTACGGTGGGGGCCCATGCCAAGAACCACCCTGCTTGCCTCTAGGGTGCCCTCGGTTTCTTGGGCTTCGATGGCTTTGCGATGGAGAGCGCGACGTTCCCACACCAAAAATCAATGGACCTCCATTGTGTAACATCTGCGGAAGTCTGACATCGTGAAGCAAGGGAACTGCATTGGAACTGGCACTAGAGCTGAGGAGCAGAGGACTGGATGCAGAGTGCAGAACCCTTATTTGCAGCCTCGTGGCCCGGACGGGAGCCAGCGATCCCATGGACGATTTGAGAGTTCGTGCAGTTTTGGGGTCGCGGTGGCCCAAGGTAAACGGTTCTGTGGCAACGCGTCATGCAAAATGAAATACAACATGACGCCGAAGATGGTGCCGCTGAATCCTTACGCTCGGAGTAGCAGACGCTTCCGTCGCTCCCCCCTGCCGTCTCAAAGGCCAAACTTGCAGCGAAGTTCGGCTCCTGCCTTGTTTTCCTTAGCGCTGGCGAATTCTTAGCGCATTATCCTAAGCACTGGCGATGTCTGTTCGTCTGGCCAGCTGCCAGAGGTTCCTCATCCGTCCCTGCCCACGCCTGTCAGGTACAGGCGAGTTGCTTTTCGCCCACGCCTTGATGTGAAGGTGTGAGGCCCCCCCAGGATGGTAGCCTGTTGAAGAGGGGGGGGGACAGCATCCGATGAAGCGAGGCGCAGCTCTGTATTTCCTCCTCTGTGGCGCATGCCGTGTGCAGGGCCGCGGTGCTTTGTGCGGGGTGAACCATATACTCTCGCACCTGGCAGCCGTCACGCATCTGACAACACGTCATCACTACGTGTTTGCTTTCGTGTCGTCGTGCAGCTTGTCGCGGGAGGGAGTGTGGAGGAGCAGTGGTGCAACAGAGAGGGGGGACTCCAGTCAAAATGGGCCTGGGATCGGCCCGGGCAGCTGCCATCCACGGTCAACTGAGAGACCACCTCCTCCTCCTCCTCCTCCTCCTCCTCCTCCTCCTCCTCCCTCCTCCTCCTCCTCCTCCTCCTCCTCCTCCTCCTCCTCCTCCTCCTCCTCCTCCTCCTCCTCCTCCTCCTCTTCCTCCTCCTCCTCCTCCTTTCTCCTCCTCCACCTCCACCTCCTCCCTCCTTCTCCTCCTCCACCTCCACCTCCACCTCCTCCTCCTCCTCCTCCTCCTCCTCCTCCTCCTCCTCCTCCTCCTCCTCCTCATCCTCCCCCCCCCTGCTCCTCCCCCCCTGGGGGTCTTACAGGCCTCTGGGGGCCGCTTTGGGCCTCTGCCGGGGCCCTTCAGGTAGGCAGTGGGCCCCTCTTGCTGGGGCCATCCTGGAGGTCATCGGCCACAAGAGACGAGGAGGAGGAGGAGGAGGAGGAGGAGGAGGAGGAGGAGGCGGCTCACCTTCACCCTCGGGCTCCGAAAATCATGGGGACCCTCTGGGGCTTTCTCGGGGTGACAACCTTCACAGGACCCTCCTGGGGCTCTTCGGGGCCCCTCTTGGAGCAGCTTGCAGCATTCTTGAGACCCCAGGAGCCCATCGGAAACGAAAAGGCGAGAAGACCCCAGGCATGCCATGTCTTCAATTCTTCCCCATTCTTACTCGGAAAGGTTGGCGCCTCAGGCGGCTACTTTGCCCGTTTCTCTCGGAGGTTCCCCAGGTTCCTCGGTTTCCCCAGGTTCTTCGGGTTCCTTGGGTTCCCCAGGTTCCTGGGGTTACCCTTTCCACGGGTTCTTCGGGTTTCTCGGGTTCCTCGGGGTCCCCGGGTTCCCCAGGTTCTTCGGGTGCTCGGGTACCTCGAGTTCCCCAGGTTCCCCAGGCCCCCAGACGCCCCAAATCCGTTGTGTTTTCCCAACTATCGCTTGGTGTGGGGTCTTCGTTTTGAAGAGACAGCGCCCCGCGTTCCTTCCTCTTTCCTTCCTCCTCCCCCTCCCCCTCCTTCTCCTCCCTCCTCCCATTCATGCCTCTGACCATCGCATCCGTTTCGGCACACCCCTCACATGTTTCGTGGTCCTATAGGGCGTTCCACCGAAGGCCGAAGTGGCTGCGCCTGCATGGCGACACCGCGCCGATTTCGGCACACTCCTCACACGCTTTGTGGCGCCAGAGGGAGCTCCACCGAAGGCCCCAGCGGCTGCGCTCGCATGGCATCACCACGCAAATTTCGGCACACCCCTCACACGTCTCGTGGCCCCCAAGTGGCTGCGCCCGCATGGCGGTTCCGTTTCATGTCGGCACACCCTTCACACGTTTCGTGGCCCCATAGGGAGCTTCACCTAAGGCCCCAGCGGCTGCGCTCGCATGGCGCCACCATGCCGATTTCGGCACACCCCTCATACGCTTCGTGGCCCCATAGGGGGCTCCACCGCAGGCCCAAGTGGCTGCGCTCGCATGGCACCGCCGCTTCGGAACACACCTCACACGCTTCGTGGCCCCAGAGGGAGCTCCACCTAAGGCCCCAGTGGCTGCGCTGGCATGGCACCACCGCACCCCTTTCGGCACCCCTCATACGCTTCGTGGCCCCACAGGGAGCTCCTCCAAAGGCCCCAGTGGCTGCGCTAGGATGGCAGCCCCAGAGGGAGCTCCGCCGAAGGCCCCAGCGGCTGCGCTCGCATGGCATCACCACGCCCATTTCGGCACACCCCTCACACGTCTCGTGGCCCCCAAGCGGCTGCGCCCGCATGGCGGTTCCGTTTCATTTCGGCACACCTTTCACACGCTTCGTGGCCCCATAGGGAGTTCCACCGCAGGATCCAGTGGCTGCGCTCACATGGCACCACCGCACCCATTTCCGCACACCACTCACACGCCTCGTGGCCCCAGAAGGAGCTCCACCTAAGGTCCAAGTGGCTGCGCTCGCATGGCACCACCGCATCCGTCTCGGCACACCCCTCACAGGCGTCGTGGCCCCATACGGAGATCCACCGAAGGCGATAGTCACAGCGACGGCATTCGCAACTGCACGTGGTTGGGTTCTTCGCCAGGATATTTTCACGACGCGAGCATGTCTGGTAGAACAACATCGTCCACTCGCCGATGAGAGCCCCTCGGGGATATCACTGGCAGGCGACTCCGACCTCGAGCCCGACTGGGAGCCCGACGCGGCCGCCCGCGCCCACGCCCGCGCCCACGCCCCCGCCGACGCCGCGGCCGCCCGCGCCCGGCGCGACGCCCGGCCCGACCAGAGAGCCGGCGCCCACGCCCGCGCCCACGCCCCCGCCGACGCCGCGGCCGCCCGCGCCTGGCGCGACGCCCGGCCCGACCAGAGAGCCGGCGCCCACGCCCGCGCCCACGCCCCCGCCGACGCCGCGGCCGCCCGCGCCCGGCGCGACGCCCGGCCCGACCGGCTCTGGGACTGGCCCGAAGACCAGCGCGGCCTCGGGTGCCGTCTCGGCGTCGGGCGACCCGCACATGGTGAACATCTACGGGCAGCGCTTCGACCTGATGCAGCCCGGGAGGCATCGGCTTGTTGTGAAAGTTCTTTCCATCGCGGTGCGATGCGTTTCTCAGGCAGGATGTGTAGGTGTGTGGTTTGGTATTGATCGCTCTTGAGCCTCTGGGTGGCCTCTTGGGGGCCTCTTGGGAGCCTCTCTTGGGGCCTCTTGGGGCCTCCTGGGGGCTTCCTGGGGGCCTCGTGGGGGCTTCTTTGGGGCCTCGTGGGGGCCTCTTGGGGCTTCCTGAGGGCCTTTCGAGCTCGAGGGATCGAAATGTCCGTTCGGGTCCCCAGTCTGGGCCCCCTCTTGGAGCCGTCTTGGGGGCCTCTTGGGGCCTCTTGGGCCGTCTTGAAGGCCTCTTGGGCCGTTTAGGGGCCTTCGGGGGCTGTGTTTGGGGCTCTTGGAGGCCTCTTGGACCGTCTTGGGGGCGATCTTGGGGGCCTCCTAAACTGTCTTGGAGCGTCGGGAAGCCGAAACGACGAGAACGCCAAAATCTGAACAAACACCACAGCAAAATCTATGATTCGGGCCTCTCCGGACCATCTTGGGAAGGCTCTTGCAGGCCTCTGGGGGCGTCTTGGGGGCATCCTGGGCAGTCTTGAGACCGTCCTGGGCGTCTTGGACCACGTGTTCGGCGTTTCGGAGCCCTCTCAGACCGTCTTGGGGCCCTTTTAGGGGCCTTCGTGGGCCCGTCTTGGGGCCTTCGTGGGCCGGGAAACTCGCGCGACAGGACGCGACAAACCCCAGGTGGCACGCGAGGCGCCACAGGGGGCACGCGGGGGGGGCCCAGGAAGAAATGGCAACTTGGGATTTTGGGCCCTGGCCCCTCAAAGGATCTTCAGGGTCGGGAACTGAGTCCCCAGAGGGGGCCCAACAAGGGGCCTGAGGACACTCCAGCTCGGGCCTCGAGGGCGCGGTGGCGGATTTGAGGAAGGAATGGAGCAGCCCGAGAGGCACACGCTGCTGCGGATGCCGAGGGCGGCACGTAGGCGTGTGCTGCTGCGCGTGAGCGCAGCCGTGGAGCACGTCGGGCCGGCGTGCATGGACGTGTACATCGTGGCTCTGAACATCACGGGCAGGCTGGCGGAGACAGGTGCCGGGCGGCTCGGAGATGGGGCCCCCCCGAGATCCTGGCGCTGCAATTTTGTCGTACCGGGCGTTTTCGTTCGATTTCGGGCACCGGGACCCACACAGATCGATCCGGCTCGAAACATGACGCAGAAAAAGATGAGGTCCCGGGGGTCCTGGTGTGTGCTTCTTTTTTCCGATGTTGCAACTTTTTTTGCAGCGTCGGATCTCAGGGCCCTGGGGGTGGTGGCACAGGAATGCGGGTGCGCAGGCGTGCTCCGAGACGGCTCCAGGGGCGTACGCCATGCCTCCGATCCCCAGAGGAAAGAGGGGGAAGGATCAGGAGTGTGTGGCTCCCATCGTACTTGAGGACCACGTCCCAGACATGATTTCGAGCACCCAGAAAAGTATCGAAACACTATCGAACGAGTATCGCCTCCCAGGGCCCGACACTTGAAAACCCTCCAGTTGCGGTGCGTTCCTGGTGCCCGATCTTTTTCCGTGTGATCGAGGCCGAAGTAGGTTGGAACATCCTAAGATCAAGAGGAAGAGGATGGACTGGACGACGACGACGGCGGTTGGAGTAAGGAGGAGGAGAGCGAGGAGGAAGTCGACGACGAGAAGATTCTTGATGTTCTGGGGGCCTTGTCGAGATCCCAATCGTGGAGCTTCTTTGGGTCAAATGAGTCCGTCGGGGGTCGTCGCTGGGAGTAAGGAGGAGGAGAGCGAGGAGGAAGTCGACGACGAGAAGATTCTTGATGTTCTGAGGGCCTTGTCGAGATCCCGATCGTGGAGCCTCTTTGGGTCAAACGAGTCCGTCGGGGGTCGCCGCTGGGGCCTCCTTCGCTCCAAGTTGGTCAATGCGGGTTGCTGGGGGGAGGGTGTCCGGGACAGGCCTCGGAAAAAAATAGCGAACACTCATGCCACAGTCATCTGTCAACGCCTCCCCCTCTCCCCAGTGTTCAAAGTTGGCGGTGTGTCTGATGAGTTGTACCTCGACCGCAGTCTCCCCCGCGCGTGCCAACTTTGAGTTTTGGGGGGAGAGGGTGTTCACTAATTGTTTCACTCTACTGGAGGGAGCCGGCTCACGACCCGAAAACCTTCCAAGGGTCGGCGGATGTTTTCACAAGTATGCAGAAGCTCATGGCGTCCTCATGGAGGCGATTTTGGTGTGTCTTGGCTTCCTGGTGGCCTCTTCGGGTGCTTCTTGGGGCCTCGTTTGGGCCTCTGGGGGGCCCCCCCTGGGGCTTCTGGGGTGCTTCACGGGGACCTGTTGGCGGTCTCGGGGGTCATTTTCGGGAGGAGGGCTCGACATGTTGGTTCTTGTTCCACATCTCGGGGCTCTCTTGAGGCCCTCTTGAGACTTGGGGCTGTCTTGGGCTGTCTTAGGGGCTCTTGGGCTGTGCTGGTGCCGTCTTGGGCCATCTGCGGGCCCTCCTGAGGGCGAGAACGTTGAAATCTGTCAAACCTCACGGGAATCAAGGGGTTTGGGCTCTTGGGGTGCCTCTTGGAGCGCTCTTGGTGTAATGGGGGCCTCTTGGGCCGTCTCGAGGACAACTTGAGCGTTTAGGAGCGCTCTTGGGCCGTCTCGGAGCCCTCTTGGCCCGTCATGGGGCCCTCTTGGGATTCTCTTGGCCCGTCTTGGGGCCCTCTTCCTTTTCCGAGGGTCCCCGAAGGGAGTTGACGAGCTCGTGCCCCCCGCCCCCCGTGAAGGGCCCCCCTCTAGCAGGAGTTTAGAGCCCAGGGGAGGGGGATAGGGGGAGGGGGACAGCCAACCATCTCCCACACCCTTTCCCCCCTGGCAGCCGGGGGTCGCCGGAGTTTTGCAAATCCGCGGCCCCAGGGCTTCCGAGCCTGGCGCCCACAGCAGCCATAAACCACCGACGACGACAGCGACGACGACGACGACGACGACCTCGACGGTGCCGACGTCGACAAAGACGACGCTAACGACAGTCATTGAGTGATGATGATGATGGTGAATGAAGCAAACTAACCAAGGAATAGCTCCATTGCAATAAGACTAATCTCCACCAGCTGGACCAGCCTGGCGTAGTCGCTGTGCACGATCATCAGCAAGAATATGAAGTCCCAACTCACATGCTGCTCTCATCATCCTTGCTCGCATTTGAAGTGTCGGAGCCTGGTCACGGACAATCCAGCCAGTCTTCGACGTAACCCTTGGTACACTTGTCAAAAAATTTGCTTGGACACTATGCGTTGTGGCAATGAAGTCACGAGCTGCTTCATGGTATGGGCACTCAGCCCAGATATGTCTGAAAGAAGGCCACGGGTGGTCGCAGTGCGGACACGGATTCCCCGACTGGCGTCTCGTTTCTGATGATACTGCACCTGAGAGAAATATGCAAAGCAACTTCTTCTTGGCATCATCTAGGCCTCTGGCCCACTTTGAGTAGTACGGATGTGAAGGAACTTCAATATCAACGGACTCGATTTCTTCAGCATCTCTTCTTTTTGCATTGACTTGCTGAAGACACCTCAAACGGGCAACCTGCCGTAGGGCGTGCTCAGCTCGTCGCTGGTAGCGTTTGTCCTGATTCCTGCGAGTCCAAAATCTTGTCGTCTGAGGAGCACACAAGCTTCGCACTGCATCCAGGACACGATGATCATCACGAGGGTCACACTCAAGTAACACTCCCTGCTGCTCAGAAAATCTGATGAGGGTGAGGCCGAGGATAGCTGCATGCGCACTCAGCGAGTGCTCCAGAAACTCCGACCACTCCAGGGACTCATCCATCACTTGGAAAGCATATAACGCTGCACCATATCTGGGATGCAGGTGTATTCTTTGAGCCCACCATCGGCCATGACACCACCACTTCGTGGACGTCCTGATAATAGCCCTATGCAGAAGCCGAGGTACGTCATCAGGAACCGGTGCAACCACAGGCGCCGCCCAATACCATAACGGTCGTATGTAAGAGACAGCCAGGCGCTCACGAACATCTGAACCACCTGGGATGGACTTCAGCGTCTCGATGGCCTGGTAAACTTTCTGCCATCCCTTCCTTGGCAGGATCGGGTACTCTGGATCGGCTGGACGACACTTCAACCCCAAATGTTCAACGACACGTGGTGGATCATCATCTCGGCTCCAACGTTGACGTTTGTTCTGGTTCTCAGCGAACCCCACATCTTGATCAAACTTTGTCGTGAAAGACAGCTCCTCATCGACGATGGCACTCGTAGCATTTGTCAAGCTTCGATCGCCCATGTAGGCCATTCCACCACTGGGCTGCCACGGTACAAGACAGGCGCACATACCCGCAGGAGCAACTGCATCCCCCTGCGGCAATCCACGCTCAACATAAATTGGGCTCGTCATCTCGCCTGCGACGCACAAATGTCGTGGGCCTCGCCAGGCCGCGAGGGCGGTGAAGACGGCACTGAGCGGAACTTCCTCTCGAAGAAGGGCCTCCACTCCGATCTCATGATCGATATTGTCATAAGCACGGGACAGATCCATCTCAGCCCCAGCCTCGGAATTTGAAACCTCAGCAAGCCACTTGGCAATGGCTTTGACACATGAGATTCCACGCTTGCACGCCCATTGGTTGGACGTGGGAGTTGGTAAAGAAGTCGCCAACGCAGACATCCAACATCTCAAGAGTAATGATCCAACTGAAATCGGCCGAAGATCAGTCTCGCTTTTTGGAATACCGACCACCCTCCAACCAAACACCATATCACTGAAATTCTGTGGAAGATGACCCTGACGTTCGACAGCCCAGAGCGATGTTTGGCACCACAACTCGTGTAGCTCCAGGATCAGCTCAGGAAACAACTTTCGCACAGCTCGCAACTCATGTGCTCCCCACCCGTCAAGGCCGGCAGCACCTTTTGCATGTGCAATGATGTGATCCAGTGTCTCAACTGAAGGCAACCAATCCACTGGCTTGTCTGATTTTGGAAACTCAACATTGTCTGCATATCCTTTCCAAGCACGTACATGTTGGTGAGCACGATCAGGAGGGCCATCTGGGCACCACTGTCGCTGCCAATCATCTCGCATTTCTTTGGCCCCGAAGGGCGGTGCTGGTGCTGACTGCCGAAAGATCGGAGTCGTCAGCTTGTAGAGATCCCTCGACCATGTCGCGAACCTCTTCTTCCACTCCTTGGACTTTTGCTGCTGCATGACTTTGTTCTCCTTCGCGATGGCGGTGGAGACAATCTCGAGAGCGTCAGCGTACGTTGGGAGGCATCCTTCGGACACAAGATACCGTCCATGCCCGCCTGGCCAAACTGCTGCAGGTGCTTGCCACTCAATACCTCGTCAGGTGTGTGCTCACCACCCGCGCGTATGTAGTTTGAATACCGTCGATGAAGCCGCAGTAGCCTCCTCAACGCAATCGTCCGCTCAGGTCGGTGCACTGATCCAGTCCCAACTGGGCGCGTGGAAGGCGCCGATCCCTTTGGCCTTTCGGCCTGCCTGTTCATGATGACGAGGTCGTGCTCCACTGCAATGCGTAGCCCAAGCTCTGCACGTCTATGCCATCGCTGCCAAGCTTCATACAGAGAGGAAGGGCCCATCTGCACGTGCTGGTCACGCTGATCAAGTTCACCTTGAAGCTGCTGACATTCTTCCTCTGGCGGCACTCGCTGGAGGACATAATCAGCTGTATGATGGAGTCGTACCATGGCCCTGGTCCACAGGGGAACTTGAATACGATATCTGACAAGCCCATGGTGCGGGATGCCAGGAAGTAACTTCATACCTTCGCACTGCGGAGGCTGAGCTGCGAGACTACCAAAGAAGATCGCTCTCGTCGGCGTCGTCGCAACTGCTGTTGTTGGCACAGTCTGCTGTGCCATCTGGAAGCCTGGTCCCAGCAAGTGCTGGTACGCATTCCTCCCATTGAGATCCCCGAAGATGAAGATGGGGTGGCCATCAATGCCTAGGCACTGGACGTACTGCAGGAAGTGGGAAAACCACTGCATGCTGAACTCCTGCGGCGCGTAGACCGAAAGGTAGGTCGCCACCGCCGTGCGTATGCCCACCATACG